TTCTAGGTAATCTTTTCTTTTTCCGTCGCCAAAATTATCAATCTTAGACCTCAAAATTGTTCAAATGCAAATGTATCTTTAAATATTATTTATACTTTTCATTTTGACTAATATATATTAATTTTACAAGTATGATATACCAAAAGTTTTGATTGCTTTAGAAAAACACATAACGTACGTGTAACCCCAAAAACACAATCGAAGTCTTATTCATGTGTATTAATGCGATCTTATGTGGAAATTAGATGGATATGGAGAAGACAAGATCCACGTTATGTCTCGGATCTTGAGATAAACTGGGATGATGTGACCAAAACTCTTGAGACCGTCCAAGAAAGCCGTACGATCGGTGTTTTGAATTTCGATTCGAATGAGATCCGACGGTGGAGAGAAGTAGCTAAGACTAAGGACAATGATGATGAAGAAAAGGTCGTCGTATTGAATCTGGACTACGCAGACAAGAACGTGACCTGGGACGCACTCTACCCAGAGTGGATCGATGAGGAGCAAGAAAAAGAGGTCCCTCTTTGTCCTAATCTCCCAAAGATCAAAGTACCTACAAGAAGGCTTGATCTAATCGTCGTGAAGCTTCCTTGTCGGAAAGAAGGGAATTGGTCGAGAGACGTAGGGAGGTTGCATTTGCAGATGGCAGCTGCAACGGTGGCCGCTTCCGCAAAAGGGTTTTTCAGGGGACACGTTATGTTTGTCTCTAAATGCTTCCCGATTCCGAATCTGTTTCGGTGTAAGGATCTCGTGTCTAGGAGAGGCGATGTTTGGTTGTATAAACCTAATCTTGATACCTTGAGAGACAAGCTTCAGCTTCCTTTAGGTTCTTGTGAGCTCTCTCTCCCTCTCGGCATCAAAGGTGAAAAAATGAATCCCTGGATAAATTACATGTTTCGATTTGAAAGTCATCGCTAAGTTAAGAAATTTCTGTGTTTCTTCCATGGATTTTGCAGAGAGACCAAGCTTAGGAAACCCTAAAAGAGAAGCTTACGCAACAATTCTTCATTCAGCTCACGTTTACGTCTGTGGAGCAATCGCGGCGGCTCAGAGCATAAGACAATCCGGTTCGACGAGAGACCTAGTGATCCTCGTCGATGACAACATCAGCGGTTATCATCGAAGTGGACTCGAAGCTGCGGGTTGGCAAATCAGGACGATACAGAGGATTCGAAACCCTAAAGCAGAGAAAGATGCTTACAACGAGTGGAATTACAGCAAATTCCGGCTATGGCAGCTCACTGATTACGACAAAATCATCTTCATCGACGCGGATCTCTTAATCTTGAGAAACATCGATTTCTTGTTCTCCATGCCTGAGATCTCAGCAACAGGAAACAATGGAACTCTGTTTAACTCAGGAGTGATGGTGATCGAGCCTTGCAACTGTACGTTTGAGCTTTTGATGGAACATATAAACGAGATTGAGTCTTACAATGGTGGAGATCAAGGTTACTTAAACGAGGTATTCACATGGTGGCATCGGATTCCGAAGCATATGAATTTCTTGAAACATTTTTGGAGTGGTGATGAAGAAGACGTTAGACGCAAGAAAACAGAGCTTTTTGGAGCAGAGCCTCCTGTTCTTTATGTTCTTCATTACCTGGGAATGAAACCATGGCTATGTTACCGTGACTATGACTGTAACTTCAACTCCGACATATTCGTTGAGTTCGCGACTGATATTGCTCACCGACGATGGTGGATGGTCCATGACGCCATGCCTCAGGTATGATACAATCAAACGACGACATCTTTGTCTTAAACCCTAGTTTAACTCATAACACACAAATTTTTCTAGACGTTGTGCGACCCTTATCATTTAGGTAGATAAATTTCCAAGTTTAAGAAAAATAATATTTTACCACCACTAAACTACATGTTCTGATAATAATTGTATCATTTTTTTTAAGCTCGAAAATGTTAAAACTAGATGAACATTTTGAGTGATAAAAATCTCAATTTTCAAAACATTAATCTCAATTTTAAGCTAAATGGATGATATTTTCTGTAGGAGCTTCACCAATTCTGTTACTTGCGATCTAAGCAAAAGGCACAACTGGAATATGATCGCCGGCAAGCCGAGGCAGCGAACTATTCCGACGGACACTGGAAGATAAGAGTTAAAGACCCGAGATTCAAGATTTGCATCGATAAGTTGTGTAATTGGAAAAGTATGTTGCGGCATTGGGGAGAATCAAATTGGACGGACTACGAGTCTTTTGTTCCCACCCCACCGGCCATCACCACCGTCCGGCGATATTCACTTCCCGGCCATAACTTGTGACGACGCAATATACACATAAATACATTTTAATGAATTTCATTTTATCTTTGCTGCGAGATTAGGTAAATATCAGTTGTCTAACTGAAAGTTTTTTATATTTTTTTTTTCAATTGGAATAAAAACGTTTTTTTGGCAGTTTAACAACACATTAGTTAACTTTAAAATTGTATGTTCCTCAACTTTTTTTTTTGGTCAAAGTATGTTGCTCAACTATACAAGTTTTAATTATTCAAGTTTCTATATTGTTACTTAAAGTTAACTATATATAGTTTTCTTTAACTATATGTTCTTTAACTATACAAACTATAAGACTTATGACAAATTTAAAGTTAATTTTCAAGTGGTACCACACATATTATTATTTTCTCTATACGAGGATTCGAATCCATTACTTGAGTCTTGGTGACTATTGGGCCATTTAACTCTTGTCCATAGACTTATGTAGTTAAAGAACATAAATTAAACAATGTAATTACATCATTCAACTCATGTGCACCTATGTGTACACCTAGTTTACGTATGCGCCAAGTTTTCCTTATTGTTTCACCAAAAAGTAAAGTCTTTCCTTATTAAACCTAAACCCTCGTTTAACATTGAAACTCATTTAAGGAAAAATCATTTTAAAAAAAAGGGAAACTGAATCTTTACATGAATTATTACTAATATTTCGTCATTAATGAGGGTATCAAAAATAGAAACATCTCGAAACAGGCTTGTCTCTCTCTCTATATATATATGAGCACAAAAAAGAAAAAAAAATGACCACAACTCTTCAATCAATTCACAAAGTAGAAAGAAACGATGGCTTCTTCTTCGTCTTCATCATCAACTTCAAAGAAGAAAACAACAAAGTTTTCTCAAATTCAACAAACCCGATTCAAGAAAGCTTACACTTCCAAAGCTTCAAGCTTAACTAAAAGACGAGAGACTGTCTTCAAGAAAGCTTACGAGCTTTCAATTCTCTGTGGAATCGAAGTCTGTGTCATCTGTTATGAATCAGACGGGAAGCTTAGGACATGGCCTGAAGATAGAGAGAAGGTCAAAGCCATGGCTCGAAGGTACAGTGAGTTAAGCGATATGAAGCGACGCAAAGGAAACGTTGATCTTGGTGAGTTTCTAGAGAAGATCAATATGGAAGATTCC